ATTTCAGCTGACTTAAGGAACCGATGCCATGATTCCAGTAGAAGTTGGAGAACCTTCTCTCCGACGACAAAAATTTGATGAGGAAACCAACAAGGAAGCTCTCAGCATAGACTTAGACCTTGTCGATGAAACACGCAAGTTAACACTCGTCAACATGGAAGCTTGCCGAACCAGAGCAGCTAGGAAAATCAGAACAAAGTTGAAGCCTCGTCAGTTTCAAACAGGGGACCTAGTATGGCGAGTTACGGGTGAAGCACGCAAGGATAAGACCCAGGGAAAATTAGCACCCAATTGGGATGGACCATATCGGATAAGGCATAACTTGCAAAATGGAGCCTATAAATTAGAAGAGCTCAACGGGAAGGTCATACCCCGCACTTGGAATGCGACACACCTAAAGCATTATTTTAGCTAGGCATTCTTATGTAATGTGTTTCGGAGCACTCTTTTCCTTTCTCAGGTTTTTTCCTCTTAAAAGATTGTGAAATAGGTGTTACTGACCAAAGGTTTTTAATGAGGCTCCACATCAATGAAACATTCTTTTGTCAAAAATATTTTTTCCACTCAGTCTAAACAAGTCAGCCCATTCCCTCTCGAGGTACCTCCTCGGCCAAGGATGATAAGCAATTTCCCTCCCGAGGTCCCCCCTCGGCCAAGGATGATAAACAAACAAATCCCTCCCGAGCACCCTCGCTCTGCCAAGATCGAATAAACAAAGACTCCCTCCCGAGTACCTACCACTCGGCCAAGGTTGAACACTCAGTTCCCTCCCGAGGTACCCCCTTGGCTAAGGATGATAAACAATTTCCCTCCCGAGGTACCCCTCTCGGCTAAGGATGATAAACAAACAAATCCCTCCCGAGCACCCTCGCTCGGCCAAGGTCGAATAAACAAAGTCTCCCTCCCGAGTACCTACCACTCGGCCTCCCTCCCGAGTACCTACCACTCGGCCAAGGTTGAACACTTAGTTCCCTCCCGAGGTACCCCCTCGGCCAAGGATGATAAACAATTTCCCTCCCGAGGTACCCCCCTCGGCCAAGGATGATAAACAAACAAATCCCTCCCGAGCACCCTCGCTCGGCCAAGGTTGAATAAACAAAGACTCCATCCCGAGTACATACCACTCGACCAAGGTTGAACATTTAACTCCCTCCCGAGCAACCTCACTCGGGCAAGGTTGAAAGAACAATGCCTCCCGAGTACCTACTACTTGGCCAAGGTTGAGCACTCAATTCCTTCCCAAGCACTCACTCAGTTAAGGTTGCAAACTCAGTCCCGTACCGAGTACCTACTACTCGGCCAAGGTTGAGCACTCAATTCCTTCCCAAGCACTCACTCAGTTAAGGTTGCAAACTCAGTCCCGTACTGAGTACCTACTACTCGGCCAAGATTGAGCACTCAATTCCTTCCCAAGCACTCACTCAGCTAAGGTTGCAAACTAAGTCCCGTACCGAGAACTCTCGCTCGGGCAAGCTTGAAACTTGGTACCTTCCCGCGTACCTACTATTCGGCCAAAGAAGAGTACACGATTCCCCCCCGAACACCCCTGCTCGGCCAAGATTGAAACTTAGTTCTCCCCCCGAGTACCTGTTATTCGACCAAGGACGAACATAGAGTACACTCGTTCGGTCAATGACGAGTTTTCGAACAAACCTTTCCCAACTAGTCTTCGTCGTTAACGAGTACATTTACGTCATTTTAACTTAATGAAAAAGACGTCAACAACAAAGGAAAGTATATGGAAAAAGGAACAAATTCATTAAAGGCCATATGGCCGAAACGGCACTACCGGCCGGAGGGTACAATCGTAAGTGGCTCGAATGGCCGAAACAAATCAAACAACAAAAAACAAAAGTATACCCTAAGTCTTTACATCTTAAACAAAATAGATGTATGGATCAAAAAACAAAAAGCAGAAGCACCCCTAACCGGCGTTATTGGTCTGTTCGGTCTGCTCGGTCTCCTTGTCATCATTCAAGGTAGTCCCAGGGTCTTCAGGAGCCGCCGACCGGGGAGGGGCCGCTTGATCGGGCTCGGCATCTGGGTCGGCCTCGGCATAATCCAGATATTCCCCTCGGAAGAAATCCTTGCTCAGCTCAAAGGAGAAATCTGGAGGGAAGGTGCCGAAGTGGGCCGCCTGCCGAGCGCAATGCCAAAATCCCTCTTCGTGTTCCTTAACATTTTTGCCTTTTCAGGCCGCCAAGGCTGCATCGGCGTCAGCTTTAGCTTGTTGTTGCCGAGCCGACAGTTCCTCTACTTCCTGGATCCTCAGACGCTCCGTATCCTCTACCGCGAGAGCTCGGCCTTTCATCTCCGAATAGGCTTCCTTAAGCCGGGCCACCTCGGCCTCCAAAGACAACTTTTCACCAGAAGTTACCTCATGTGCGTCAATGGACTGGTGAAGGGCCGACTTAGTTTCCTCCAAACTTTTCTTCAAAAGATGAACATCGGCCATAGGCTCCAAGGCCAATTTCCGAAGTATAGCCGTCGCCTGGATTTGCAACTCACAAGCCATGGCCCATTGGGCCGAAGGGGTTGCCGAATCCAGCATTCGGTGCCCTTGTTCCGACAATAAGTCCGACGACATCATCCGAGTCGGACACACTTCCTCAGACAGAAAATCTTTGGCCACTATTGCCGAAGGGATGGCCAAGTCAGTTGATGACGTTTCTGCCCGCCGTTGCTTGGGCCTATTGGCTTCGGCGGCAGCCGCGTCGGCCTTCCTCTTCCCTTTGTCCCTTTACTTTTTACCGGACTGATCCGGAAGAGCAATAACATGAGGAGGAGGTGGAGGAGCAACCATAGTAGTCGGCCTTGCGTCAACAGCAACACTCCTATGCTCTTCGGCCGAGGTACCGACAGGGCCCGATTCCTCATAAGCTGCCAATAAGAGAGGCCGGCACCTTGTTGAGCCATCCAACCTACAAAATGTTAAAAGTCACAAATCAACTTAACAAGATCAAGCAAATAAGAAAATTACTACATACCCTCTAACTCGAACCGAGGTCGAGGCGATTTGAGCAACAGAATCAGGAACCGGGCCGAGATTCCTTGAGGTAATCCATTCAGAATGAGTGAAGCCGACACCTCGGCCTCGGTCATCATCTCCAACGGAAACTTGTCGTATTTCCGAGGTTGTGTGGTCCAATACAAAGGAAAAAGAGGCTTCCCTTCGGCATCAAAGAAATAGTTTCGGCCGACAATAGGGTCTATCATTACTTTCACAAACCCTGACTTAAACCCCTTAAACGACGAAGTATACGGCCTCATTAGTGGCTGGTCGGCATGACGAATAAGAGATAGCCATTTGACATATTTATTTGAAGGACGCGTACAAAAATAGTGCAAAAATAGACCTACACTAGGTTCTACGTAATGATATCTACAGAGCACCCGAAATGCTTGCATATACGCCCACCCATTCGGATGCAACTGAGTCGGCGCAACGTTCAAAACCCTAAGCACCCCCATCTGAAAGTCATCCAAAGGGAGAGACACCCCAAGCTCCCGGAAGAGACACTCGTACATGTAAAAATAGTCACCTTGACCCTCCCGCTTCGCAAGGAACACAAGGTCTAAATCCCCAGGGCCATCGGCTCGGCACCGGCTCAACTTGACCGGATATGGCTCCGAATACACCCACCGAGCCATCGTGCACACGGTGATAAGGTGTTCCACGGCACTCTTCGCGTGGAAACGGGAGAAGTAGACGGCAACTTCGCCGTCCACCCACTTATAGCCGAGAACTTCACAAGGAGGGAATTTCTGCCTATAGTCTTGACGACTCATCTCGACGTCCGGAATGTCCAAACCGGTTGAACTGGCCGACTCCCTACTAATACTAAGCCCCATTTTGGGGGAAACCCCCGCCTCAACCTCAGCGTTGAATGCCAACACCTCGGCCTCCACATCGACCGACAAAACCCTCGAATTCGAGGACGATCCCGAAGACACATCTACCGTTTCGGTAGCCATAAAGAATATGAAATACAAATCTACCTTTTTCCAGCGAAGCTCTCAGGTCACAATTCGAAGAGGATCTCGGGGCAGAGGATTTCGAATGATAGAAAGCACACCCACGCCTATGCCCTACCATCATATATATAAGCAAACCCCCCGGAATTCCAAAAGCCACTAATTAATGCTCCTGGCACTGAAGCGACGCCAGCTAAGGGCTCGAAACCCTAAGGCAGCTACACGTGCAACGGTCACTTTCAACAAGGGTCACGACTCTCGAGACGAGTACAAAAACCCTAGAAACCCACCAAACCTCTTCAAACCCCTTCGTCCTACCTCCTTGGGCTTGGGGGGGCAGTGTACTACTAGGCACCTCTTCGGCCAGCCTATAGGCTGAAACAACCACCAACACCGAAGACATCACTCCTTCAGCCGTAGACTCAACCGAATCCCTCTTCGGCATTGGGCCGAGCCGACGCAATATCGGGCTTTCCTTTGGGGAACAAGGAAACAATTAAAGTCGCATAAGACACCTCTTCGGTTCCAGACCAGGCAGAATACCTCTTCGGTTCCAGACCAGGCCGAATACCTCTTCGGTTCTAGACCAGGCCGAATACCTCTTCGGTTCTAGACCAGGCCGAATACCTCTTCGATTCCAGACCAGGCCGAATACCTCTTCGGCTCCAGGCCAGGCCGAATACCCCTTCGGTCCCTGGCAAAGCCGAATACCCCTTCGGCCTCTGGTCATGCCGAATACCCCTTCGGCCTATGGCTGGGCCGAATACCCCTTCGGCCTAAGGTTTGGCCGAAGAATTGAAAGAAGGACAATTCATAGTAGACACGTGGCAGATTAGCTATTCATTATACAATGGTTACCATGCATAATTAAGAGAGATTAAGGTTAATCCCAGTATTACCCATCCCCCAAGACAGAAGGTCCACCAGGCCCAAACATGTCACTATAAATACACAGGTGATGGGACATAAATGAGGTATGATTTATTCCATATAAAAGCATTATTTGCTCTATACCGAATACTTACTTGATCGTCGGAGTGCCTTTGCAGGTACCCTCCCCGCCCCTCGGAGACAGTATTCGGTCGGCCTGAAGACTTAGAAGATCAAGAAAAAGGAGTGATAAGAGGAGTGTTTCTACGCAGGAACAATTTGAATTTAAGATCCTATACATACTATTCTTACTCTATTTCACTCGTTGCTTAATCTCTATTCTATATGAATGTCACCTTGATTCAATGGTTCTTTATCTTCTTCTTAGTTTTTTTATTTTATATTGTTATATTATACAGTTCTTTTAGTATGATTTTCATGCGTGTTATGCTAGATTTTTGACTTGCAACCATTAGCCGCTATCCACCATCGTTTTTCCACCATATGATGTTGTTTACTTCAGTAAGTGAACAATAATACTGAATAAAAAGACAAATATTTAGGGTAAGAATGTACTAATTTCCACAATATTGAAGGAGGGAGGGGAAAGGAAAGGAAGATAGATTCTACTACAATAAACTTAAAGGGAATCACATTTTATTGTTAGACATAAGATGACAAGTCCTCATCAAGAAACATTAAGAAAAAGTAACCAGATTCCAACATTTGATATCTCACCAGATGAAAGTCAACAAGATTGTTGACATATGCCTCTAGTCGCTTCATAACATGTGGTGATAAATATTCTCTGACTGATCCCAAAAGTTTACCAGGAGTGGTCTTCTTAGACTCTTGCTCTGTGAAATTGACCTTTGGATCTATGATCCTGTATAAATTATCGCTACAATGAGCATTTCAAAGATGGATATACAATAGAGAGGTGCAGATTTTACTTCAAGAAATTCCAAAAGGCATAAAGCTATAAATATATTCACTTACAGATCGGAATTCTAATAAATAAATAAGATTATGAAACATCTTTAAATTTTATGGAATAATAAAAACATAATATAATCTACTTTTAATTTCTCATACAATAAACAAATTCCTTATCTAAAATTACATTAAAGAAAATGGAAGAAAGGAAGAGTGGTAGTGGTATCTTGTGAAAGACACGAGATGCTTTTCTAGTTTCAAATCTTACTATTATGCATTGAATCAAAAATAAAGAAAAGCAAATTTCCCTTCACATGTAAGATATTACGCTTAATTTCATTTCATGTACAAGAAAGCCTTATTTTATATTTATACAGAACAGTGAAAATGAAGTATTTAGCAAAAACCAAAGTGAAAAGTCATGTTTTTAGTTCATGAAGTAGAGGGCATATTAATGTTTTGGTTCATGGAGTATGCAAGTTAACTATGTTTCTTTCTTCCAAAAGAAGCAGCCCCACTTTAATTTGCTAATCTCCTTTGAAAGTCAGACCTCTCTTCTAAGGTGAAGTTATATTTTCAGTGTCCATTCTAATGGCATAAAGTGGTTTTCACAAGTTATTGCTTCTAATCTATACATCTATTTATATCTATATATATATAATACAGATGTCTTTTTCGTGTACGTAGTTATTTGGTCTATTTACCCATATGACTACCGCAAAATCACTCACACCTTCCAATTATAAATCATTTTTTATTTATTATATCTATTTTTTTTTAAATAAATACATAAGGCACATAGTGTCTCTCTTCCCATAAGTATGGGATAAAGTGATCTTCAAAACTCATGATGTGATATGAAGTATATTCTTAAAGATATTATATATTAGACATAAGAAAAGACCATCAAGCTTTTTTATTCATCCGTCTTTCAAGTTTGCTTTATCTTTTCTGTGTTGTGTGTTCAGTTTGATTTTAGAACCATATCTTATCCTCATCTTTTGCACTTTATATTTTATAATAATACTTCTGTTTTTAAAAAATAAAGATGTGGAAAATCTTATCAACAATTTAATCGATTTTCATATATTTCATAACTCTAGGTCCCTTGAATTCAAGTAACTTCAAAACATTCATGTCAATATTTGTGAATTGATAATAATAATAATAATAATAATAATAATAATAATAATAATAATAATAATAATAATAATAATAATAATAATAAACACTTTCAATACTAACCTCATGGCAAGCTTGTATTCCATGCGACAAAATGTAGAAGATAAAAGCCTAGTAAATCTTTGAATAAAATCTAAAACAGTGAACATTTCAAATCACCAAGAATTAACAAAATGAATCACAAATAATAAAAAGAGATCATAACAACAACAGATGATGAACCCACCTTGGTAAAATGGGCCTAAAAAATCCCGCTCATTTGATCCATCAACTTTAATTTCATCATTGTTTAGGGCTTTCAAGACCATACATGAATGCTCACCGGTCACAGCATTCTGTTATGCTAAGCAAACAACATTTAATTGGTTATTAAAAGATAAAATTACTCATGCACTATTACCATTAATTAAAAAAAAAAAAAAGCTTAACTGAAATCTGGCCAATGTAGAACGGAGCAAATTTAAGCTTGCTCCAAAAGCAAAACAGGGGCAAGGTTAGCCCAAACGAGGCACCAATGTAAAGGAGCTTCTCTGGGCGCCTTTCACGCAAATGTACCAGCAAATGAGGAAGATCTGCTCGTGGTTTTATGTTTTCTTTAACTAGTGATGCCTGAATTCATATATTCATATAATTAATACAATGGTCAAGCATATATTGATATGATACACATATTTATATGCTTAAAAGCGCAGACAATAACAAATCAATATAGTTTGTTGTTTTTCTTCAGCTCTGAATTTTCTATGGTTAGTACATTTCATTTATTTTCTTGAAGCATCATGCTCTATTCTATATTGCTGAGTATTATTTTATCTCTGCATAGTAGAGTTTTCTCCTTGATGAATTTATATTTCAATGTAGTTTATTATTGTCATTTAACCTCCTAACTGTTTGATATTATTCCTTTATCTCATTTAATTCGTCTTTTACAAATATTAAAAATAGAAAGATTTTATGAAAACCTCATTAGCTGTGAAACTAAAGGAAACAAAACACAATTTTGTTCCATTTAAGGTGCAGCAACACTACACTTATTCATGGGTGGAAATCTAATTTCATGGAAGAGCAAAAACTTTGTTCCATTTAAGAGCAACACTACAACTAAATATGAAGTTATGGCTCATGCGAATTGTGATCCTTTGAGGTTGAAACATTTACTGCAATAACTACATTCTTGTGAGGTTGTCCGCTGGAACCTGTGTGATAACCAGTGTGCATTGCACCTCTCCAATTCAGTTTTCGGCGGACAAAACATATAGAAGTCAATTGTCATTTAAGTACAGAAAATATTATCTTTAAATCATCAAAATTTTCTTGGTCAATTATAAGGATCAACATCATTATATTTATTAAATCTCTATGGGTCCTCTAATAACTTACATGTGACAAGTTGGATGCATAATTGCATATGATGTACATAGTGTTGAGATAATGTAAAAGAATATGTTAAAATATTGTCCCGGTCGTATTGAATATTCTCCTCGCCCATTGATACAAGAAATACAATATTACTCAGTCTTGAGTAGAAGAAACTTACCTTCTCTGCAGCTTCCATAACTCTAAGTCTCGTAGCTTGCACTTCACCTTCATCATCAATCTCGGAGATTGGAGCAATTTGTCCTTCATAGTAACTGTAGACAGTATGTAAATGATTAGATTGAAAATGTTCTGCTTAACATTTTGACATATAAAAAGACTAAAATGAGAACCATGTTACAACATTTTTTATTGCAAAGTACTAATAAACTAGATTCATAGGAAAGCCAAGCCCTATTTTCAACAACATTGTGAATGGAGCTCCCACCATTTTGCAGTTTAAGAGGGTTAGATGTGCATAACCTGGTTCCATAGATATAAAGGCTGTTTCCATCACAAGAATCTATGACCACTAGGTCCAAAGGAAACAGCCTTGCAGTAGAAAATGGAGTATACTAGATTTGTGTACAAGACCACACAAGAATGTATTTTTACTAATTAAGTATTATTTACTATAATTACAATCCTACTTACAACATGAGTCGGCTGCTTCATTAGAGAACTAATTTATCATACACAAATACCAAAAGTAAGAAATGTTATCCACTCACCGTATTAAAAGCTCAACTGCCCGTGAACCATATCCAAGCTGAAGTTAGAGAGATAAAAGATAAGAAGGGCATTACGATTTTGGAGGAATATAGAACTGTATGCCAGAAAATAGAAGTTACCCTCATGGCACTCGGATGTGTAGCAATGCGTACAATGCGAGCACCTGAAAGGGAAGGAAAAACAGTCTCTCGAAATTGCTCACAAAACTTCCATGGTATTTGATCTCCAAAAGGTTGATGACCATTGCTCAAACTTTGGATTGCTGACTGACTAGATATTTTCCCCTCGAGACAAACCTGTAAATAAAATATATGAAATATGGGGTGTCAAAACAAGAAAGCAACATTAATAAACAGATAAACAGAATTAAAAACATACATAACAAGAAATTATAAAGTTAACACCAAACAAACATAAAAAAAAAATTGTAGCTAAGTAAAGCAAATCATGCAACCACCACAAAATTCTAACACTTCAGATATTCCTCAAATTACAAGTTCTATGCAGCACGATAAAGTACAAAGGCAAAAAACGAAAGCTTAGAAGTCAAACATCATGTACAGAAAATCATGCAACCACCATAAAATTCAAAACACTTAAGATATTCCTCAAATTACAAGTTTTGTGCAGCATGATAAAGTACAAAGGAAAAAAAAAGGAAAGTTTAGAAGTCAAACATCATGTACAACAGCTCCACGTATGTGTAAAAACTGTTGAGCATTATCAAGTGTCAACTTAAAAGGAAGCCAAAAGCTTCAAGCATTTTAAACCAGTAAAAGATATCGATTTAGTTTGCAGATATTATTGACATCAAAATGATTGTTTCTTACATATTCCATGATATGTCATAGGCTTCTAGCTTCGTAAAAGATCACAAGACAAAAAACAATTATATACCATCTAATTCAAGATCTCTCTTTATGGTTAGATTTGATGCTTTCTTTGGTGAATGATAACACCCTTAAAATAACCATGGTGTAAGGAGAAAGAAGACGGGGTGATGTAGGGTATCATAACTACTGGTTACGTGTTTCTGCTAAAAGGGTTATATTCAGATGCCAAATACTACTGGTTACGTGTAACTACAAGTACGGGGTGGTGTAGGGTTGACACTTTTTTAAACACACTCTTTAATTGGTTGAAACTTATTGGAAAACGCATTTTGGTGAGTCTCACCCTATTTAATGTTTCTCTCACCTAATATTGTAAATTTCAATAAATTCTAACCAATGAGAATGAGTGTGTTAAGAGACGTGTTAAAGAGTGTGTTGCTAGCACCCCTCATATTCGGATAGAGAAATAATTGGGAATTCATTGGGACTTTTGAGAAAGATTGGGAGCACTCAGATTGCCTAAGCTATCTGATTAAAAAATATGCCTAGGCTAGTTTATTTCCTTGCTTTAACACATGTTTGTTGTATTTTAGAAGACTAGGACCCACCATCACCTTGACACAGACTTGTATTTTCCATTAGTATCGTAAACTTGGTCTCTATTCTATTTTAATTTTTTGGTACTTTTACTTTATGTGTCCATTTCATGTTATCACAAAATAATTACAAAAATATTATCTTATGTTCACTTTATTTCTTGTTTTTAAATATTTGTACATGCAAAGGTGAAAACACCTAAACATTGTTTTTGCTCTTTCCTAAATAAACATTGAAAATGGAAACAAGGAGGAACATCTGCAAACCTGAATGGCACAGAAAATATCAGGGAGTTGATTCTTTGATTCATCAACAGGTCCTGTCATAAAATTACTGTTATATATATGCCTAACTCGAGAAGAACAAAGGAGATGTTACATTGATTTACAGAGTTGAAACACAGAACAAGAAAGAAAGCCTAGTATACCAAGTAGTACAAATAAGTGGTGTGCCGGAGCATCTGCCATCAGTTGCAAATCATTTGGAGAATTCTTGTAATGTGATGCAGTATATAAGGCCATCATTCTCTGTCAGATTACCAATATTTTAGTATCCTTTTAAACTCAAGAAAATATAGACCCAAAACATCACCAGATAAATCTGAATCTACCTGCAAAAATGTTTCACTATCTTTGTGATATGAAAAGAGGGTATCTCGATTCACGTAGTATAGATCACACTCATTACATGGAGGAAACCTAATTTCAGGACAAAAGAACTGTAAACAGAGATATTAAAAAAATGACATCACTTCCAAGTAAATACAAAATATTCTAGAAATAACCTATTAAGATTCGGGATGATATTTGAAACATCTAAGCAAAGTAGCGAACTAAGCCAATTTTCAATAGGATCTCCAGAAGCATATCTGATGGGATCATTCAGTTCAATTTTCGTAAGACCTGAGAGATAAAAATTTTAGCAACAATACACATGTCCCTTCAAAAAGAAAATTATGCATTATAATCATTTTAAAAGCTAGAAGAAAATATGTTTACCAGAACCAGTGTCCTCTGTGCTCTTGGAAGATACAATGCTTTGCTCTGCCAACTGATGCAAAAGTTTCAATGATAAAGAGCGTCCAGTTCCTTCATAACTTTCCATGAGTTCAAAAGAAAAATAATCAGTTTGCATCGAGTACAAATAACTTTTTTAAATGGAAATATATATCATACTGTGTTAAAAAAAAGGGTTGGGGGGTGGGGGGGG